AGCCTTGTGGTGCAGGACCTGATGAAGCTGTCCCCGAGCCTTGTGGTGCAGGACCGCTTGATGTTGTCCCTGAGCCTTGTGGTGCAGGACCTGATGAAGCTGTCCCTGAGCCTTGTGGTGCAGGACCTGATGAAGCTGTCCCCGAGCCTTGTGGTGCAGGACTGCTTGATGTTGTCCCTGAGCCTTGTGGTGCAGGACCTGATGTTGTCCCTGATCCTGAAATGGACTGTGCTTTTGTCAGGGATAGACCAGACATCTGACATGCCAGTACTTTGTCGCATCTCATAGGGGAACGTTGAAGTGCACATGTCTCCAAATGAAGGTTCAGATCTGTCACGTCCAAGGGGCAGATCAGAGACTCAGACACAGAGACACAGGAGGGAGCCGGGAGGAGACTAGGGGCGGAGCCACACAGACACAGAGACACAGAGACACAGGGGGCAAAGCCTAAACCGTGACAATATCAGTGTGTTGACAATTTTGGGGAATATGTGTCAAGAACAACATTATGAAGACATGTTCCAATAACTTTACCGAAGCTTTGTTAGAGCTCAGTGTTGACCTTAAAATGAATGTAGTTAATTGGAACGGTTAAACTGATAAGTGCATTGAGTGTCATGGTTTTATGTAAAACGGCATTCATAGACAACATAGTATACATAGTACTAGAAAATTCCGAAAGAAATTTTGACAGTGTGGCTTCTACTGCCCGAAGACGTCGCAATAAATAGCTACACACGCCGATGTTACCGGTAGTATCGTTGAGGTTTGATTGAGATATCGCTTCTCTCTTTTCTGCATTTCAGATTCATACTCTTGGATTGAATCTTGTATTCGTGATGGACAGTCCACAAATGGCTCCCGTCATTTCTGTACTGGACATATACATCTTTGTTTCTCTAAAAATATCTAAGACCTGAATGACTGTATGATAGAGAGAGAGGAGAGAGAGAGACTGAGTGAGACAGACAGACAGACAGGGAGACAGACAGAGAGAGAGAGAGAGACAGACAGACAGGAGGTCCATGCTTCCATGTCATGTGTGTGCGTGTGTAGAGAGAGAGAGAGAGCGTGCCTGCGTGCGTGTGTGTAACTGGTTGCCATGGTGAGGACACTATACCTGTCACATTTAGTGTCACCTTATATATTCTTCGTTTAGGATTCCTCTTCTGATGTTCTATCTTTGTGTTTATTTACTACTTCAGTCTGCTGTAGCATTGTCTGCTGAAGATGAAACTAATGATTCACTTTCCCTCATTAAAGGGTGAGTTCACCCAAATCACTAAGATACCATTCTCTTTTTCCATCTACCCCTGACAGTTTCCAGAATAATTTAGACATAATCTCTGGAAAGAAATATTGATGTTTAGTATTTTCATCAAAACTACAAGCACCACAATGCTTCATTGTACAGGTCCTTAATAATTACTTTAAAATGTCCTCGGACATTTCCTGGAACTGGCACCGATTATAGTTAAAATACTGTAAATTAAATTGTTCAATAATGCTCCTTCCAATTACTTAATTCAAATGAATTTCTAATAAGGAGTCCCAGTACAAAGCAGTTAAACTCAATAAGCAAAAAATCGGAAATTTGTCTAAGAACAAGCAAGAGTTCAACACACAGAATTAGAAAATACAGTTCCTATAATTAAAGACCATAAATTATCTGGCTTTCAGTTGATCAGCTCTCTGCTTCTACATTCAACTAAAGTCTAACTAAAGGCAGAAATGTGCCCTCAGTAGAGTGCTGATCTCCGCCATGTGTGTCTGCAACGTCCACTGAGCGTTTATTTAGACTTCAAGTCTACTGAGCAAACTGCTTTCCCCCAGAGTGTCTCTGGTCGCAGAGCAGCGGCTGAGAGATACTCAGCAGTGTGTGTACTGGTAGTTCTGTTAGCTTATAGCTGATCGCCAAACACACCGTCCAAAACAATATAAGTGAGCACATTTTCTTTCCCCACTGTGTTGCTGAGTGCAGGGAAGCGGCTAAGAGGCGGCGTTGCACTCAGCTACGTGATCACTACCGGCCCCTACCGGCCGGGCGCTTGAGTAGTGAGTGAGGAGACTGCAGCCAGTCAATGGCAGTATTAAACCGAAAATAAAAGGTGTTTTGAGAAAGTGTGCAGCCATGAGGGGTATTATACAATAGTATACAGTTTACTGAAGCAGTATGCAAGACTTGCTGTGGACAGACACAGAGACGCTCACTCAAGCATGCATTCACTGACACGCACACGACCGATCTCATTATCATCCTGGTGGCGATAACAATAATATCTACAGCCAACACACTTCATTCAAATTCAAAAAAGGCGGCAATCTATGCAGGCAGTCGGCTCAAAGTCGTATAATAAGCTTCATGGAATCTTACCAAAAACAATATTAAACTGACCAAGCTGTCTGCCCGCTTAGCAGTGGCAGGGTGGCAGCGTTGTACTCAGCTGTGTGGTTTCTAACAGCCCCTACCGGCCAGGTGGCCGGTTAAGAGTAGCAAGTGATGACTAAGCAGGCAGTCATTAGCAGTATAAAACAGGCAATACAATTTCTTCTGAGAAAGTATGAGTCACCTCAACCACGAGAGGTCCTTGATCATGCAGCCAAAACATGGTCACCCAAAATATTAGGCAGTTTGCTGCTGCAGAATGTGAGATTAGCCGTGGACACTAACTCATGGATGCACACATGGAAACATGCACAAGCAATTGCATAACGATTGCATGATTCTCCTGGTGCAGATGAGACAGGCATCTCCAGACTTCAGGAGATGAAAATGAAACTTTGCATAACAAAATACCACGTGGGATTAGTGAGAAAATATGTACGTTTTGGCTGAACTGACCCTTTAAAGTTTTATATGATCAATTTTAGTTATCCACATAATACCAATGTTATTAGTAATGTGGTATAACTTGGAGAATCTGAATTACACATAACTAGTTTTTAAATGTAATAAATCATAATAGAATTACATTCTTGCAGTCCAGTCATGAAAAGCATGTGATTAATAGTGTAATTATACACAACCAGCATTTCTCCGATCACATGCGTCTCGAGATGTCAAACGCCACCGCGTAGATTTATTATCAAATCGGTGACAGGGTGTAACAAGGCAACAGTGCCATGTATCAAAAGACGGCCGTAGCTGTGAACAACCAGCAGTGGGCTAATCATATCAAACCCTCGTCTCATCCATCTCCTGCTCCATTATACTGAAAATGATGGCATTTAGTTACCCTCCCTCTCCCCAATTTATTTCCATTGGGTCCTTACAGGAGAATTATTTTATCGACTGACTCCTCTGAATTGCGAGGCAAGAGTCTGAAAATGAGGCAGACCTTTAATGATTCTGTTTCAGTGGGTGTATGTTGGTGTGAATGAATGAATAGGCAGGAGGAGGCCTTCAGAGAAGGCTTATGTGTCCTGAAGTGTGTGCTACGTCTCTGAGTTAGGCAGATAATTACTCTTGCATCAGACTCCAAGCAGTTTCATATGGCAAGGTGCATTACATTTTCAAGATATTGGACAAAGTAAGGGTAAATAGCATTATTTTCTTAATTACATTATTTTATTTTTTTACAATAATACAATTGACAAAATATCTGACACAAAGCAGAGTCAGAATCTCTCTGCATTCATGAGGCCAAAAAGGTATTTCAATCAAAAGCCACATCACTTGTTTTTATTCACAATAATTACAGGTTCAACAAAGGTCTGTCTATTTATTTCTAAGTACTTTGAAACACCACTCATTTTGTATTTTGTGCTGCTTATTTTTTTGTCCTCTCTAAATTCAACCCCAGTACTTCACACCGCGTTGTCTTTGCTGTGTGAGTAACATCTACCTGGGTGGGCGATGCACCTGCGTGCCTCAGCAGGCTGCGCAATTAATTAAGGCATTTGCAAAGCATGCGCGGTGCGGAGCTGCATCTGGAGGCTCTTCCTCCTGGCTGTGCAGGTCATGACGTTACATGTTAAGTCCCTCACGTGGATTTCCGCGATGTTTTGACCGGTGCCTGGTATTTAAAAGACTGGGTCTGGCTGCAGTGGGTGCTGTTGGCTGAAGAGCCCACTGAGTAAACTTGTGAAGAGCGGAGAGAGAGAGAGAGAGAGAGAGAGAGAGAGAGAGAGCGAGAGAGAAGGAGCTGTGCACTCTCTTCCCGGCAGAGTGCATCCCGCTCCACTCACACTCGCATCGGGGTCACTCCACTTTGAGGCAGAGGACTGGTTTCCACTCCCGCACCTCCCGTGTAACGCACATGAGCAGTCTGAAGGACGCCAGCAGACATTTCCTACCTGTGCACCTCCAGCGTGCGTCGCACAAACTCTCCTTCGTCTAATTGTTTCCTCCGCGGTTTCCTACCCGGTGATTGTGGATTACGGAGAAAAACAAGCAGTAACTCCAGAAATCATGGATTTATTGATAAAGTTGATGTTGTTGTGCAGCTGCAGCTTCGGGGCAAGTGCAGACTTTGATGGCAGGTAAGGGAACATGATTCACATTATCGGCGGACGCGGGTGATTTTGTGAAATAACAGTGAGTTTGATTAAGAACCGGGCATCACAGTTCAATCCATTTATAGTCTGTTTCTGCCAAAACTGCGCCTTTGGTTAAAAATAGCGCTTGCTGGAGTCGTTACAAACTGGAGCATATTTTAAGATCTCCAAACGGCGAAACTCAATTTAGGAGTGAGAACATGTTGCTCAAGCCAGATGATTCGTGGTCTTGCCGAATCAGTCCTAACTTTTATTATGAAAACAGTAATAATCCAAGTGCATCCATAACCGGTTGGTTTTGCGCCTTGGAGCACACATTCTGTTATAGCACAAACAGTGTTTTCACCTGCAGCAATCACACCAAGCTGTTCTTGTCTCGTGCAGATATCCGGCAGATTACAAAGTGATGTGACAGCACGTTGCCCGGTGCTTCATGTTCAAACACGAATTTGATGAAGTATGTGCAGACAGGGGTGTGGAGACGTGCCAGACCCTAAAGAATGCGTGTGTCCGAGATTTCCATCTGCCTATAGGTGCATCTGAGTTAAACATGATGCCTTTTTTCTTCTTTTTTTTTTTTTTTTGCAACCATGCATCATTAAACCAAGTTGTAATTTGGCAATTGCAACAAGTAATTGCACCAGTTATGTTAATTGTCAAAAAGCTCATTTCGGACTATTTGTAATTTGTATGCATCTCTGTCAGACAGGCTCAGCCCCAAAGCAGGTCCTCTCTCATGTTGCACTTTTTCAATTGAGTGAAACATTTTTTTAAGATTATTGAAGAAACTTATTATTGAAGTTATCTGCATGCATTTCAAAAAATGCATTTTCAGACTGACTGCCATTGCTCCTGCTTGTTGATAGATTTTGACATCTGTCGGTTTACAGCCTTTCTTCCTCCTCAGCTCTTTCAATTCAGTTTCCTGCTGCTGTGTTCAAAAGTATTTCAAAAGAAGCTATTTGGATATCAAAGGTCTTGGCATTAAGTACAAGTGTGTGTGTGTGTGTATGTGTGAGAGAATAAAGGTGAGGGCAGACATATTACAGACAATTTGAGTTGAGCATTGGCAAGCACATACAATGTCATTTTTATTTAGGACCCTTTTGTTTTTTCTTAATCACCGTGGATAATGTTTGTGTGACAGGCCATGGTCTGGTGGCTTTAACTTTTATTTCACGCATTGCCTTTGTGTAATGCTCATTTACTTTACCCTAGCAGCAGCATATTGCACATTATTAACATGCTATTAACAAGCCACTCCCTGCTGATGGAGTATGAAATGTTTATGGGTATAAACTTGCCAGGGCCTGAGTCTCTGCCTCAATATTAATTCATTGAGAGAATATCCCCTGAGTCCCAGCACAAGCAAAAAAAGCCATTTATTACCTGCTCTCTCTCTCACTTATTGCCTTTTGGAGAGCGTTCCTAACAGGCTTATCCATCTAGTTCTGAAGGGTCCTTCACGGGCATCATTGGCAAGATCATTTTGTTCTCCCATAGCTGCACATAATTACCTATAAATGTGTTGCTAAAAACATTGTACTGGTGTTGATGCCACTCCTTGTTCCAATCAAGGACTCAAGGACAACCAATTTCCTGTCATGTAACATAGAAGCCTAAATAAAAGGCAACACATACAGTAGAGGATATTCTTCCCGAGTGATGTCACTAAACAAACGCAGCCAAGCAGCACATACCAGACCTCCTCAGTAATAATCCAAAGAAGTGGACTGGTGCCAGGTTATGTTGGCGTTGTAATATCAGACCCACATTTGAGCTTTCAGGGGTTGAGAGTGAGTGCGAAAATACTGTCGAAGTCACATTTTATACAAGCAGTTTACAATACAAAGTAATGCATTTATAGATTCCTGAGTGTTCAACATCTAGCGTATGTCAATGAAGAATGTGCCGACATCTTTACTAGGAGTCATAGAAGAGATTTAAGGTGTGATCTTGCCATATGCTTTCTGAGAGTGGACAATAACTGAAGTCAGACGCCACTGATTTACCTGTTCAGTGTGGTATTTTATTGAGAGACACTCATTCAAGTGCTATACCTCACTAAACAAGACGTATGAACTTTATCAGGTACCAACTCAGCATACAGCATTTCAGTTTGTGACGAACATAACTTCTCTCCCTGCTTTTTTTTTTAATCATCTTTACTCAGCAAAGAGGACAGTTTTAGAGTAAGAGAAACTCAATTGAGAAACTCTGTGTTGTATTAAAATAAGTGCTACATGGACAAATACACCTACTAGTACTACCACTGGTCACCATAATAGTCTAGTATGTATTTAAGTATAGTGACATTGACATTTTTCCCTGTCCTTTATACATCGAAAGAAAGGATGAGGATAGCAAGAGCTGCTGCAAGGTAAGGTTGGCAGAATCTGCTTCACAATACACTCTGTGACCAGACACTTGTGCATTGTGATGCAATTCAACAATCCTGTGATGAATAAAAGATTTGTGATTTAAAGCTGGAATTGGCAGGTTTTTATGGTTGTAAAAAAATAAAAAATAAACTTTCAGTATGTTGTAATTGAAGTGGTTTGATAGATAACGTTTGCACCTCTTCTTTGCTCTGTTTTCAGGCTTTAGAAAATCTAGCCATTGATGGGAGATTTGGCCAATCACAGGTCATTTCAGAGAAAGGGCGCTCCTACTATAAATGCAGATGCACACGCACGTACCTTAAGATAGTAAAAGCCTGGTTTAGTGCGGAATATCCTGCAGAAAAGAGTGTACCCCAAAAAAGGAAGGCGGACTTATCAAAAAGAGACCAACAATAAATGCAATAAGTCATGTGTCAATATTGGTGAAGCATTTTAGAAATGGAGTGAAAAGTTACTAATTAGTTTAGCCTTCTTCAAACCAGAGTATGTAATCTCTAAGGGCTTTACAAGCCCATAAATTAGCACAAAAAAACATGTCGTAATTGTCAAAGAATTGCCGCTGTATAACGGTATCGGGATCCCGATCGGGATGATGTTTGAGTAGTACGTGTACAAGTTACTGTATGAAGGGTGTTTGGAGGGGTTTAGGACAGAGAAATGAGAGCTGCAGTAAGAGGGTTGTATTTTCTATTTTTTTTTGCCTTTTCCACAAAACTGCCTACACCAGCTGTAACACTAATTGTTGTTTACACTGTGTCGGAGTAGATTGTGTGGTGATTTGTGAGGCTGTAGTTGGTGGCATTGAATCCCACAGTTGTGAAATGAACCCACGACTGGACAGCAGGGTCATGGCCGTCTTTCTCTGCGGAAAACCGTAAAAGGGTTTCATTCCCTCTCCAAGAAAACATCCTATTAGCTCTTGTATTGCAGAACATGCTCTTAGCTCTTTGTTTGGAAAGAGTGCTCTCTTTTTCAACACAATTGTTGACGTCTACCTCGTGTTTCTACAGAGGTTGAATGCACTTATGATAAGCTACGCAAGACTAAAAGGTCTGCCAAAGCAAGATAACATAATGTAAAGAAAAGTATTGCATTGCAGTATATTGTAAGGGGTTTCAAACATTTAGCTTATTCATAGATGTGAATGAGGTGGACATCTTTCAGTATTGTGCTCTATTACAGTGCAAATGCCTGAAAAGTGCCACAGAGTTGACACAAACCACTTATTCCTACATCAGAAGTATCAACAAAGACACCTTAGTATTGCATTTATTGCAAGGATATTGTGCTGCATTGCATTTACATCATACACGTGTTTCTAATTTTCTGGCCACTCAGTGAATACCTTCCACTATGTCTTCTTTGTATGTATTTTGTTAATAGGCCAGCTGATTTCTCACTTTAAATCCTTACCTCAGATATTTGTCAACATCCCACATGGTGATGTGTGTTAATGTGATAGACTTGGCCGTCTGCCTGCAGATCTGGCAGCGCGTCCGTTATGACGCCAGACATCTTATGACTGCACAAACTCATGCCTTCAGCTGAGCCTGGCAGGTTCCAGCAAGTCTTTCACACCGAGCTGCTACAAGGCAGCAATCAACATCTATGAGTGTTTGTGGGGGAAATCAATTCAACAGGCACAATTTGCACGCTTCAGTATGAATTCATGGATGGATGATTGATAGATGGATGGAATTATATACCTTCATGGTTCTGATTATCATGCTACACCCCACACTGCTCTTCTGAGCGATAGACTCAATGCTCTTCACTGTCAGGCAGGGGAGATCTTCCAGCTCTGTTTCCATTTGTACAACAATGGGAGAAGGCTGGCGCCCCTACATTCTCCTGAAATAAACGTGTCTGATAGTGTGCACTTGGGAAGATGTGTCCCATTGCATGCCTGAAGGGTAATAATTATCTGCTTGAGTTCCTTCAAGGCTTAGTGTAATTTAAGATCATTATTCAGCCCCAGGGTAATAAATACAGGTATTACGCTTGAGTCCATTTGATATGCCAGCTTCCTGTTCAGTAATATCACCGGGGACAAGATGTATGTGGAAAAAATGCTCTTTTATTTTGGCGCAGTGTCATTGTAACTCACATTGTTGATTGATACCCGTCATGATTTTCAAGCCATAAAAGTTCTAAGAGAATGTCTGTCCAGCGTTGGTGTGGTGAGCTGGTGAGCTGGTAAATTGTATTGAACCCTCAGTTCCAAGTTCAGAGCGTGTTAGCGTGCACAACTGCCTACAGCTGAATTCAGCATGAAGAGAGGACTGAGAGCATGAAACTGGATTCCATGTGTGTATATATATGAGTGGAAAAAGAACTACAGGGAAATATTTGATCATATTTAATCCAGAACACGTTGTACCTCATGAGGTTCCTGTCTCCTTATTGCTTGTGCAGCACAAAACAGACCATCCACTGGGAGCCTGTAGGGGTCAAACTGCTCCTTTGTTCTTCTTGACATCATGTGCTCAGAGTCAAATGTCATGCCCTTCTGATCCTGGCAGGTGTGTGTGTGTGTGTGTGTGTGTATGGTGTATATATACTGTATATGTGTATATGTATTTGTATATGTGTGTATATATATATGTATGTCTATATATGTGTGTGTATATATATGTATGTCTATATATGTGTGTGTATATATGTATATAAATATGTGTATATGTATATGTATTTACCTATGTATATGTATTTATATAAGTATATGTGTATGTATGGGTGTGTATATATATATATATATCCTCTGGCCAGACAAAATATCAGTTCTACTACGTTATCATATCCTGCTACAGGAAAAAAACACTAAAAATCTTACATTTAATTGCCAAAATAGACCATTAACTTTTTCTTTGTTCCATAGGAGTGTTGTGGTTGCCTCAGTTGTTTCCATTATGAGGATAATATCACATTTCATCAACCTCGAGCTCTTTTGAAAATGCATATACCAGAAGTATTCAATTCAAATTCAAAGAGGTCAAGTCAGAGAAAATGTCCTCATGCAAAGGTTCGGAACATCACAGTAATGTCTAACTTGTGCTATGATTTAGTGCCATATACAGTATATTGGAGTAACCTAGTAGTTGTATCAATGTCTGTGTGTAGTCAGTCAGTGTAGAACAGTTTGGTACGTTCACATATTACCTCACTTTACTGTAATGCAGCCTTTAAAACCAGGAAAAGACAACACGTATGTCATATCACGATGTCGATATAATATCCATATATTGCCCAGCTCTTATTTAACCCACAGAATATTGTGTACACTTTTAAATGTGATGGTGTATTCTACTGGCAGTTATCATGTGCAATGATCACTTTGCAATGTCGTATAACTACAAAGGAAGATGACACCATTAGGTTATATGGGAGCAGGTGCACTCACAGCAGCATGAACAGTTCCCACAGGATGCCTTCATATTCTAAGATGATAATTACCGTATGCACACTGATGAATAAATTAAAGAGTGCATGTGAAAAGCTTCTGGGTAAAATTACCAGATTTAAATATCCCTGAATTGTCATGGGACATGTTTTAAAAAGATGTCACCATCCTCCAAATGAAGTAAATCTTTCCAAAGGACGGAGATAGATGGTCTTGTTTTATGTAACAACTTTACAGTATAGAGGGACAGCAGGTGCCATATTTGTGTGGTGTGTGTGTGTGTGTGTGTTCTATTATAGAAATAGAGGCATCTAAACCTGGCTGCTGTCCACCTCTTATTTTCCTTTCCTTGTCTTTTGTTGAGTTTCTTTTTCATTTAACTTCCTTTTCTTTTCTTTCCTCTCCTTTTACTTTTCTTTAACCTTTGTTTACTTTTAATTATCATTCACTTCCCTTTGGTTTCATTTTTTTTGTTTTGTTTCTCTCCCTCTATCCCTCCCCTTCTCTCTTACTGTCTTGGAGTTTTTCCCTGCCTCACTGCCTTCCTGCTTTCCAGGCAGCAGACAAACATTTTCCCTGGATCTGCCATTCTCACTTAGCATCCATCTGGGTTTTTTTTTTCCAATGAGGTGATTGGCAGCGGGGGCAAGCATTAGCATTTCCTCCTCTTGGCATAGAGACACTAACAGGCAGGGATAGTGGCAAAGGATGTGCCTTGAATACTGAGCAACATCCTCACTCTCTCATTGAGGCACAAATGAAAGCATCTATTTCATATAGTATATCAAGATAATTTCTCCTTTGTTTTTTTAACTGGATTACAGTATTTCCACTGTATAATTAATAACCTCCATAGTCAGTCATTCATGAATTGGATTTATTCAATATTCTACACACATTACCTTCTGAGTTATTTATTATTTTTGCTAGATTTGAGGTAACTCAGAACCAGGCTCTCAAAGTATGCGGCTTGGATTTTCATCAGTATCCTTAAATGGACTCATTCCTTTGCCCCATTCTCTCCATAAATATGTGGTGAGCTTTGGTACAGATAAAAAGGTAATCCACAAGCACTGTCTGCCAAGAAGCTATTTCTCGCTCTGAGCAGAATAGAACATGGTGTAACAACAACATCCGGCTGTAATTTCTCTAAGAGGAATTGCAGTGCTTTGGGGGAAAAAAAACTACATTTCTATAAACATTAATACCTGTATGTTCCCTCTGCAGCAGCAATGAAATGATCTTTCACTGTCATGAAATTGTCTGATAGATTTGTTTTAAACATACGGTACAGTGACACATACTCTACATACTCTATACATTGGTTGATGTTATAGATGGAGATAGGAAACATACTGTATTTTCAAGAGCACCTATAGTGTATATAGCTTCAAATCTATTTCACAAACCTTACAATGAACACAACGGCAATGTGGTTTTTCTCAGATGTGAGTGTCAGTGGTGCACTGATGCACATTGGAGGATAAATTCAAATCAGGTCTGGCAGGCTTTCAACACGGGTTTTCAATTTGACATCGCACAAACCAACGCCATCTGATGTGCTATCGCTTTTATTTCCGTGAAGCAAAGATAATCTGCTGTAGGCAAGCAGTGAAAAGTCAGCCTTCAACACCCTGAGAAACTGAGAAACTGGAGTGTTTTTCAAGCAAAACATGTCAAATGTTTCTCAAATGTGACTATTTGCTGCTGTTCTTTGTATTAGAGGATAGTAAACTGAATAGCTTTGCATTTTGGACTGTTAGTCAGATAAAAAAATGGGATTGAAAGAAAGAAGTTACCTTGGGATCTGGGAAAGTGTAAGAGGTATTTTCTTTTACTATTTGCTGACATGGGACGTTTTCGTACATTACATGGGACAGAATTTGGGTGCTATTGAAGTAGCTATTATTTACTATAAAACATCGACAGATTGGTCAAGTCAGTTTTATTTATATGAAACCCCAAATCACACATTTGCCTCAAAGGGCTTTACAATCTGGGCATGTGACACCTTCTATCCTTTGACTCTCAATTCAGAAAAGGAAAACCCTTTAACAGGTAAAGATAACGGAAATTACTTTTACTTAGGCAAAAAGAAATTACTTGGTACAAGTCTGTTTTCTATACAGCAGAAAAAAATAAAATGAATGCTTTGAAGCCTCCCTTCAAACAACATTGAATAGACCCCCGCTTTTCATTTAGACATTTTAATTGTCTGTGAACTAATTATGTTATCCCCTCACAGGTGGCCACGGCAGATGGCCTCGTCCAACGGCCTGTGTCGATACGGGGCCAGGGTGGACTGCTGCTGGGGATGGACACGCCGTTCCTGGGGTCACTGCCAGCGTGAGTGCCACCATGCCTGCTGCTGCTGCTAGGGCTAACAAGGTTGCGAGGTTTCAAGCTGGGGTCAAAGATGCTATTAGACGCAGGAAATGCTGCAACACTGCCACAGTAACCAGGGGCTTGGGGAAACACATTCACACACGCACATAAACACACACACACACTCATTGTCACAAGAGAAATACATACAGCTAATAGAGCATCACACCTGGGACAATCTTTGAGTAAAGATTGATGACAATGGCTGGTTGGACCGGAGGAAAGGCTGACATTTATTATCACACTGCAGGTGGCCATAATGAGGGAGAGACTGTATAGCTGCAGGTGGACACATTCAAGGGTAGATGGGAAATTGATTATAGATTACTGCTGTGCAAAAACAAGCTATAGCTTACGCTGCCAAGTAGTATAAAAACAATCCATAGTGTCGTCAGGTGCACTAATCCTCAATTCATCTTCATATCCTGCAATGTCAACTTGAGGATTCAGAGGATGTGTCCTGTCATGAGCACACACCTGTGTCACATAAGCTATATGAAATATTAACACGTGTTTTCTCCGACATATTTACATTGTGTGAAGATCCTCTGCTCTCCTATAATACTACCCAGGGAGGTGTGACTGTGAATATACTAAATGGGTGTCAGATCTGGTCAGTTGCCTCACAAATGTCTGCATGGCTTGGTGCCTGTGCTGGTATAGCTGCTGCTTTGTTGTGGAGGTTTAATCATTGACATGGAATCAGGCATACAGTGGATGGATAACACCAGCTTCTGGACGGCACGGGTAAAACAAACAAAAAGTCAAGGAAGCCAAAATGAAACGCGCATGATATGTTGCAATGGTGGTGGCGGGGTGTGTTATATTCTAACACAGTAAACACAATTATTTTGTGTTTACTATTTTATGTAATTATTCTAGTAAAGCGTGAAGCTGTAGAGTGCAGGTTTCTCGTAACATTCAATTGCAAATTTTAAATTCCATCACGGAGGACGGCAAAAAGTTTCAATATTTTAACTTTGGACCGCCACAAACAGATATGCGGGGTGTCGTCTACTGTCTGCCTGATTCCATGTGAATGCATCATTTTCCACAGCAGGAACTTAGTTAACAAGCAACTTGTTAGACATTTTGGGAAATAAAGTTAATGGTTTACTTCCCAAGAGCAATTGTGATTAGTGAAGCCAATGTGTCAACAACAAACACAGCAGTAACCAGCATTTCACTGCCGGGACCACTTGGCAAAGTTTGTATTGTTGGTGCACTGGAGATGACCATTCCCCCTTCCTCAGACCGGTAGATTTCACAAGTTCATCCTTCAATTATCTCTCTATGGATTTTTTTTCTCCTTATTTCTGTCTTTTATTTTCCATCTCAAATTCACAAAGAAGTGAAAGAAAATCAATGTCAGGATTAGTGCCACTTCTCCTATCATCGTCTGTCCCACAATTGCTCTCATCTACCAAACAAAGCATGTCGAGATTTATGAAACACAAAGAAGAACCTACAGCACCAAAGCCTTACAAGTTCTTATTGGAAGCTTCATGTTAAGGGTTGTTAAGTTCCTGCTGTAGAAACTCTGCATGTTGATTCTACCCACTTATTTATAGCTTGTTAAAATAATGTTTTCTGTTTGTGTTTTTCATTGCTGATATTACCATATTTTAATCATGTATTGAGGCTCATCATGCCATGCTATAGGTTTGTTTATCTGTTGTATTTTGTATCCTTTTTTGTGGGAAACATGTCACACACTGCTTGTTGGGCCCAAAGGTCTGTGCTGCTGCAGCTAAAAGAGTTCTGTATTTGCATCAAGTGCCATTTTGCTGAAGATTGAAGATTCTGTTCTGCTGAACACAAACAATATTACTTGAGTTCATGGCCTCAAAGTTTTGTATTCCTTTTAGCCCAGCTAGACTCACCTAAGGTCTTTGCAAGACAAATCTGCTTTTGTTCACCTCTTGCTTCATCTTTATTATAAACAAAATATGATAATTTTATTCTAACATAAACACTACGTGTCAGAAAAACAAGTTATGCTAATGATGACGGACCTCGTTGCTTGAGAGGGGTTGATTTCATGGTTGGAAAGTAGAGGTTTTCTTTTTGCAATAGAACCTCCTACCTTTCCCCAAGGCCTGGACACTTGAACCACACAGTCTGTGCTGGAATGATGTAGGAAAAAGCAGCACTGTTTCACTGAGACCGATCAGTTGTATCCTTGGATTTTGTTTGTTTGAACATGGAGCCAGACTCGGCATTAATCCTCTTGGCAGGAGTCAGCAATCTCAATGCCCAATACCTCCCAGTGCATCTGTACTGGGCTCTCTGCTTTTACAGGTTCCCAAAGAGATTCAAGGTGGAATAGACGATTTTGAATGAAGACGAGAAAGAAGACAATTACTTAATTAAGCTTAGTTAAGGGGGCAAGACATGATACATTTACTAATTTGTTTTGCCCACTTAAATCCCAAACAGTGATTGCCACATGACAAAACATTTGTTGGTTTGCTTCTAGAAATCAAGGGAGACGATACATCATCATATGTGACATTTATTTTATAATAAATCAAACACAGTCACATTCAAAAAAAAGTAATGTTTGCATAAATTACTTAACCAGCCAAACAACAGTGTGTGAACATGTTTTCTTTGTTGTTCTGGAGTCCCATATGTTCCACGTTCAGCCAAAAAATTGAGTTTGAGTTTAACCACCATACCGAGCTGCTGAAGTATTTTCACTGCACTGCTTTTTATTTCAACAAAATCAAATCTGTTCTATGAGTTAAATCGCTCGGTGAGTGCTTGCCTTAATGTTTCCAAATGCTCATGCCGGGGTGCACGACTCAAATCCATTCACTTGAGACTACAATCAGTACTCCATCCAGTCAGTAACGTGTGTGTGCATGTGTGTGTGTGTGTGTGTGTGTGTGTGTGTGTGTGTGTGTGTGTGTGCATGTGTGCGAGGGGATGCAGTCAGTGCAGATTCTAGCTCTTGGTTAGTTTTTTTTTGAGGCGATAGAAGAGATTAGATTGAAGCTATAGGATTGTGGCTTTCTCAGGCATGGAGCTCAGGTGATCGGTTTGTGAGACTTCTTTCAAAGAATGAGAAACTTAATAGATCAACCCTGAGAGAGGAGGGAAAGGACTAAAAGTTGGGGGAAGTAAAAATCCTGAGGTGTAAGGGAAATGGTTCAGAGGTAAGGAGTTAAGAGATGATTGCTGCTGGAATGGGGGGGGGGGGTGTCAGGAAAGAGAGAGAGAGACGAGCAAGAAAACCAGGCAGATGGAGAAAGAGAGAGAGAGAGAGAGAGAGAGAGAGAGAGAGGCTTTAGATTTATAGTAGACTGAAGCTCCACTTATAATGTTCTGACAGGCCATCCGGCAGGCAGAGCCACACTTGAAGCTACTTACTCCAACCAGCTGCCATCATGAACACTTTACTGCTACTGTGAGCATTTGAACATTTGCATTTCCAGTGTGATACAGTCAACAGTAAAAGTACTTTTCACCTCTTCCACTCTTGATGATCCCATGACTCAGTCAGTAGCAGGAGCTTCGATCTTTTAATACATTTGAGTTCCAGTAATACAAGACCTTGGTATGAGGTTGTTAATTTTAAACTAATTTCATCCATATTACACGTTCTGAAAAGCCAAAATTGTCTGGGGTTTTGCTATTAAAAGTGTGGAGGAAATAGATATGCTCTGACTTTCTTATTGAACAACTTTAACCAAGTGATTTAGTTGCTCAACCTTAACTATCCTTTAAACAGTTAAGCATCTTTGCCAAGCATATCATAGTTGTCATGCGCAGATATTGTTTATTAAAGAAATATTTTGAAAGGAGTAATTTAGTGATTTATCATTGATCTTCCATAAAGTTGGGGGCTTGGTAGAAACAGAAGAAAACATTGGCATTAAACATTAAAAAAATCTTGGGTTTTGCAGAATTGTCTGATACCAACATTCTTGTTTGGACAGACTGATACTGTAGTTCACAACAATTGAGGACTTGAATAATGCTGTGTTCACAACAAACGCAAAGCGAATGTTTTGCGCAACGAGATTACGTACAAAGTAAATGCAAAGATGCGAGTTTGCTCCCCAAAGGCTTGACTTGGCTTAAGATCAAAAACGTTCAAGTTAACATTTCAATCAGGTTTTGACCAAGTAAAAATGAATGATCAGTCAAACGTTAAAAAGACCGTAGCAGGCCTTTTATAGCCACTCAGCTTTGAAGGACTTGACTAGTTTTTGATTAACGTGAGTTAATCCAAAAGATAAAACACAGCTTTGGTAGAAAGACATACATTTATTTTCCCTGCATTGTAAAGTGACTAGGTTTAATTTCACCTCCATATTAAATAGATCACACATCATTTCCTCAGAGGTCCTAGTGGATTTTACAAATCCACTAGGACTTGGATTTAGTTTGATTGAGTGCGGCCTTTGTTTCGACAAATGGTGTGGACAGGATTAAAGCAGAACTTTTGAATTAGTAATTCGAGCTAACAAAGTGAGCAACCAAAGCAGAAAAGTGATATCTCAGTTTCAGTAATTCACTTTCACATGATTGTCTGTGCAGTTCCCTTGTCTGCTCCACTTTCTTTCATGATCACTGGGCTGAGAAGGCCAGTCGAAAAGTGTGCCTTTTCATCTGCTTGACGTAATAAAGTGAAAACAAAATGGAAGGGTGTGCTCGTAAAAATTAGAGAGAATATATGCGCAAATAAAAGGCACATGTTTCGAAATTACTTGCCACAGTCTTTGAAGGCACTTTGACACAGTGCTGATTTAAAGAACTAATGTCTCTTCACAGTCACTTAGCTGCAGCGTTTATTTTCATATTGAAGAACCAGGACGGAGAGCTCCTTGAATGATACTGGTGGTGTTTTCATCTTTCGGCGCAGTGGTGTAAATTTTAATTCACAGAGTGCGAAAGAAAGCTGCTTCATACACGTCCATTTAGAGAACATCCCCGGAGACGGTGGTTTTAATCTTTTTAATTTTTATAACTCAAATGCATTCAAAATGTGCTTATTACCTCGAGGCAAGTGGGAATATGTGTGACTCCAGAACTCCAGACTGTGTGTGTTTGTCTTTTTTTTTTTTTTTCCATGAACGTTTGCTTGTCAAAATGACCAGGCTCTGCCCTCTAACATCATGTTTCTTTTTTTGCTCTCAAAGACTAAACAATACCCCCAACCTTTGTTTGTTTGGCTGTTTGTTTTTCAGCTCTCTTCGCCTTAACTCACAGAGTAGCCGGGATAAGGTGCCAGCCCCAAGGTTAGCTCCACATGTTTCTTGAAATAATCGTGCTATAGACATGAATTGCTGGGGGCACATCCTCTGAATCCTGGACTCACTCACTTATTTATAGAGTCAAGCCGTCCCCCCACGAACCCCTCACACCCCATGGTAGCGGCCATCTTCTGCCCTCCGGCCTTAAAGCTATGCAAACAGCTTACACTCTGAGGACCTGTTTTCACCTAAAGCTGTGTCTTAACATGAATTATACTGATGTTTTTTTAGTTTTATTAAGATACAACCGCCCCTTTAGTCGACCCCATAAAATACTAATGAAACCATTAAAGCTTAAATCCATAATGTTTTTTTTTAATTAATATGTCCGCAATATATCCATCTGCATGGTGCAGTGTAAAAACGGAGTATTTTACTGCGGTTGGAGATGCTCTGCATACGTAACTACATAAAAATCAGTCGGGTGGAGAATGCCAATATCCTCATACTTCATCCTTTGGGTAAACGAAATATTCACCATGACATTACCTGGTCGATCGATGACATTTCACTGTATACAAATTAAATAGAACAAATTCAAACCCCAGACACAAGATGATCTGTCCTCATTATAGTATGTAATAAGGATTGATTTGGTGATCAGCTGAACCATTTTGATAGATTATTTCTCAATTATTAAGACAAAATTCAAATAGTTCTTTTCAAAAGTTAGGATTTTCAACTTTTCTTACTTTGAAAAGCATATAATTACACCATGACTACTTTTGGGTTATGGACTGTTAGTCTGACAAACAAGCAATTTTAAAAGACAGAACTTTTCTAACAATGGAAAAAAAAACAATCAGCAAATCAACCGATAATGAAATAATGATTACAAGCAGCCTTAGGTAATTACTTAGTTGATTGCAAGATGATGTAACTTGATTATGTAATGATTTTCTCATCTTCCTTTGAAGTCATGCATTAAACTACTATAAACATTCATACACAATGTCAGCATCAATTAAAAAATAATACTTTCCCCTGTGTTTACCATCAGGCATCCATGAACAGCCAATAAATCAAAAGAATCAGTAGCAGCAGAAAGCTGTCCTGAGGAATGGCTGATGTAAACCAGAGTGAAAGTGTGTCATCACTTGGCATGTTTTCATGGAACGAGGGTCATACATGCTATGTTTGGCCTTCCAGCTGCCACGACCGTTTTAGTCGTCCGTGTCCTCTGCTGTGGTTAATGAACACTGGCCGTTTCCCTGATCTCTCTGGCAGGCAAGAGGCTTAAAAATAACCTCAGAGGCAAAGCCTGTTGATGGCCGCCTCTGATCGTGCTAATCAAGTCTTCCCCCATGTAGGAGAATAACAAAAAGCCCTCCACTTGACTTCCCTCCAACTAACAAGATCACCAGCTTCATTCATTTCATCTGCTGACCAGACCAAGGTCTAATAAACTCTTTTCCTTTTCCTCCAGCCATTTTTAATATTGTGAACATTGACTGCTCGCTGTGTTAACACCCTGGCTCATATCACAGGCCTCTCCAAGTGGGCTAACAATACTTTCTTTCTATTTGATTACAAAGCCAAATAATGTGGAATGAGTCTGGAGATGTTATCGACTCCAGTTAAAGGATTCATCGCATACCTTCGTGCTTTTGAATTCAGTTTGAACAATGTTACAGACCTGAAATCTGAGCAGCTAAAGATGTTTTTCAGGATAGAACTGTGGCCCTGTACGCTGAATGTGTATGAATGGAAATTGTAACTCAATTCTCAAAGTATGCATTTCAAATAAAGAGCGTATTATTCAGCCCTTTCTTCGTCAGTTCTATAAGGTGTCCCTCAGTATGTGTTTAAGCAGCTTTCAACTTATTTCTAGCATTTCGGAAAAAAAAAATAAAAACAGGAAGCATTTAAAGAGGGAGTATCTCCACAATGCTGCACAATCCAAGAAAATTTAACGGAAATCTGTGAAGTAGTTTTTGAGCTGTCCCTCTAAAACTTATACTGATAATTTATACTATTCATAAGGATGATAAAACAACTCGGAGGCTCTGTTGTCCGAACCAAGACAGCAAACTTTATTACTACTTTCAATGTTGTCTAAGGCAGCGCATACCACATTCACACTGTTACTGTTCTTATATTTCACAATAAAAGCACCAGACATATAACATTCGCAGATGAAAGGTCGCCAGTGTTTAATGCCTTAAAACTACACCAGCACACCTTTCAAGATACACAACAAACTGGTTGGGGTGATAAGATCTCTCATCTAGAATCTCTATACACACACACACACACACACGCACACACACACACACACACACACAGGTCTATGTATTGCCACTTCCACCACAGTGATAATTAAGTCCTCTTATTGCAATGTATTATGACAGAATTAATGGAGCTTTTAATGAAAATTAGCAACACTTGGCTGAGACCCCCGTATATCAGACATGTTTAGCAGCAAGCTGCAGTAAGCACAGTCAGATAAGCAGGGTAAGCCTACAGTGCACTGAGACAGAATGCAGAGTCAGTGAAGCCGTGCATCTCCCCCAGCTACCACGTTTCTGTACACACTCAAAATACCACCATCTGCACACTACGTACGATCTGCAGGGCAGCTCTTTGGTATTCATTATAATCTACTATTTTGGTGCTCTAATTGTTTCAGCTTCAGTCTAAGGGGGAAATATTATTTGCCAAGGAAATCTTTGTTGGCTGGGTGCCAGTGTAAATATCAGCACTGTATTTTTCAAACCGGGAAAAACACTTTTCAAACTTTGCTCAGTGTTAAAAGGTCACATTTCTCATTTATCTCACACAGTGTGAAATGATATAGTATCAGTAAGGACAATAAAACTTTTCCAGCTCCATTCAATGCAAAAATGATGTGGTTAGCTGAGAATGGCTGCTCTGTTACCATTAGTCAATGATAATAACATTGTCACACAAGGAGAAAGAAACAAACACATTTCCTATATGAATGAGGCTTCATTCTGTTATTGCTGTAATGTGAAGTAAACAGATCATTTACAGCCAAGTCAAGGAGTAGTAGGATTAAGTACTTTGTCATCCTGATCTGGAACAAGTAGTCTGCCAGGACGCTGCACTGATCTGTCTCTTCCTCTTTGAATCCTCTCTGAACAGCTGTGTGCCAGCCTGGCTGTAAACATGGAGACTGCGTGGGACCCAATAAGTGCAAGTGCCACCCTGGCTTCACTGGCAAGACCTGCAATCAAGGTGAGATCTCGCTCGTAACTTGTAGACTCCATGAAAACTATGTTACTTTGCAGGTGGATGTGACTTTTTATATGTCATAGGGTACTAAAGTTAAGACATACACCACAAAAAATGAGGCAGAGTCATAATATTAGCACACCTTGCTGGCATGCATATTTTTCACATGAAAAGTAAGTGAAGGAGAACCGCTGCCCTGAGCAATGGCAGGGTAATCGTTTATTGTGGCCAGATCTCCACCGCACAACACCAGCATATTAAAGTTGACACTCATGGAACGGAAGCTGGTTTGCCACCAGCCTACAGTAGTGGGATGCTTTAACCAAAAGGGGAGGAGGTAGAGAGAGAGAGAGAGCGCTGATTCAGCTCAAATGGAAATGAGTGGTAAGGCCATATTGAATAATCCTTGGGGTGCATCCTCTCCTGTGAAGATAACATCTCAATTACAGACCCGAGATAACTTTGCTCGGCTGAGTGCAACCGATGCTATGGAAAGTGTGTTTTGTGTGTGTGTTTGACTTTTTGTGCAATTTCCTCATTGACAGATTGGACATGTTGAAAAGCGTTAAAGCGTCCCAGTTAGTCCAAGCAGCTTGAAAATACTTGTGGAATTCACGCCCTAAGACCCAGGAATAGGCTAGTGTGTAATTAAAAACAAGGGCTGAGGTGGGTGTGGAGGTGTGGAAATGTTCCAAACGACTCATCCTGCATTTGGAGGCTATAGGTGGCTCCTGTCTGCCCGGCCAGACGGCTGTACTTTGTCTTCATCTGCAACAAAGGGGAGAGGAAAAAAGTCGTCCCATATCCAGCTACAATAGACTTTGTTTCCAATCATTCAGACATACTTATCTGACAAATGTGATTCCAAGGCCTTTCAAGATGAAACTGTACTTTCAAGTGTCCATTGAAGCCTCATTTATCCAATGAGCTCTAGACGTTTTACAGAGCTTTCTATTTTACTCAGCTTTGAGTGGCAGACATGCCCTTTCAGCCTATTTAGGTGGAGATAACCTTGGATTCTGGTTTTGATCTGGCAGATGCTATGCAAACCAATTTAATTATTGCCAAACCATAGATTAGATTTTTTCATTTAAATGCAGCCTCCATTAAACATTGATTTGACGTTTACTATTGATGTCTCAGGTGGCCAATGTTTTGAAGCATTCCAATATCCTACATCATTTATCTTAATGAGTCAACGGGAGGAGTGAAATAAGTTGCTGAGGGCTGCTTTCCTGACCTTGATGCTGCTAAAGGTCAAGTAGTAACAGTGAAAACATCAGACATCAATTAAAGCCAAGCTCACATGACATGACTTTCAAAGTCATGTCATGTCAAACTACACGTCATGAAAACACATACGTGATGTGACTAGATACATGATGTGATACCATGCGCGTAGTCATGCTTGTTGTCGTCGGCACGCGCGTTCACATAATAGCTTGATTCCACGCGTCTCTACTATTTATAGTCTGTTTCCTCTAGCTGCAACAACAACTTTGGTCCGTGTTGCAAATACAACACATACAGTAAAGTTTCTATCGTTATAGATGACCCCTCCCCAGGGTTTCCCCTCAACACGTGTCTTGCACTCTCATTGGCTGTAGCTTCCCGACATTCTTCCTGGCAGCTCCAGAATTTTAGCATGCTATATATCTGGAATGTGTCCCGATACATCGGCGAGCCTCTCAGCTCAACTTTGAACAGTTCACACAGCGTGCTCAAGTGCAATTTGTGAGCGCTGAGCCAACGCTGAGCCAACGCTGATTGGCCTCTGACCTGGGGCTTTTGTCAGGAATCTCCAAAAATTGTTGCCATATATTGTTGGATAATCAGGGCTAAGTTTTAAGTTGATTCAACTTCCATTTTCTCGTTTTCATTTTCAGACCACTTGTCTGGAGTCTTGACTTTAAATAATGAATGTTCTGTTAAGAGCTCACTAAATTCATTAAATTAAGTTTCCAAAACAACATGTTCAGCACATCAGCAGACTTTGTCAGCATGCATTGTTGGGAGTTAAACTCTCCTCCATGTTTTGTATTTTGCAGAAAATTAACATTTGTTGTGTTTCTTTGATATATATTAAGTAATGATTGATTTTTTTTAAATAATAGTTTAAAACAATGTGAACCATGTGAAGGTTGGTATCCAATTCAGTTCCTCCCTCACGTTGAGCAAATTATTTAACTTCAATTTTGTAAAAAACAACAACAATAAAAACAACAGCAAAAGTTTAAAAGTCAACTCCCGTTTTGGAGATATGGTGTCCCCAAAGAAGATGCTTAATGATTAATAAGCGGAATCAAGCATTAAAACCCTGTAATGCACACTTACTTTATATCGACCTCCACGTGGAGCGATATATTCTGCACACTTTGCTCTAAGTGGGAGACGTGGACAGAGATATGACCCCAGAGTCATTCTGATTAAGTGTTTAACACCTTAGGAACGCCGGTTCTATGGAGCAAAAACAAACCACAGAGGAAACATCAGTGTTGACACCAAACCCAAAGCAAAGCAGATGCTGTATTGATTTCACCTTTCTCAGAATCAAAGCCATATTTTCCTCTTGTCAAACTTTTATGAGCTGATATTCTTATGAGATTTATTCTTCAAGGACTGCATGTCTGTTTTTAGTACCAGCTCTCTTCACCTGCCAAATCATTTCACCACAGTGGTTATTTCACTTTCATTGCTTTTCCTATACAGAAAATCTCAACACCTGTATGGGTGTCATTTAAATGATTCGGATTATGTTCATCATTAACTTAACAGGCACTCGACTGTCAAGCATAATAAGCACTACTTCGGGAATCCCTATCATTTTTAGAAAGAGCTTCACCTTTGGTGCTGATGAGAGTAGGATCTGTCATACAGCATGGTGAGGATAGACCAATAAGCTCTCGCTGCACAAATAAACTCATTATAGGGATAATCTGTTTAACAATTTGGCAGAACACCCCCCTGCTGATCCAATCATTTTAATAAGATGATTATTCTGTGCAGGTGGATTTAATTAAGTGTAGTTGACCTGATGCTAAGACACTATAAAAATATTTTGCTGGAGGATTGGCATCAGAAGCAACACTAGTGCCTGCAGATGCTGCTTTCTTCTTTTTCCCTCTTTTCTGTCAGCCAACTATATAATTAATACCACTTCAACTTTGATAGTCTTGAGCTGTGGTTGAACTAAGTATGCAATTTATTCCATTATCAGTTCTTAGAATAATTGTTCAGTCCCGGCTGTCTTCGCTCTCTGTTTTTGAGTGTACTGTAGCGAGTGACGGAATGCTGTTGAGTAGTTTAAGAGTTAATATTGTAGCGAGCGACGGAAAACGAGCTCTACTCTGCATGTCGATCAGATAAACGGTTGTGGAGCAAATCAAAAGACAGACAGATATACGTACAGGCAGAGACCTCTTCCATTTGAGTTAGATTACCTATATCTGGACCTTTCACTCCTTTATCTTGGTGAAGGCACATTGATGTCTCCAATAAATTGCATGGTTTAATTCAGTCTAGGTGTAGAGCGATACTTTAGAGTCGTTGGTTTAGAAACAGATGCCTCTCTGTCACTGTTTTTCTTCCTGTCTGCTGTTAACAATCAAACAGCTGCAAGTAATAAGTATTGCATGCATGTCATTATCATGTGTATTTTCCCTAAATTATCATTTAATAACCCCAAATTGTATTTGTTTTATCTATGTTCTTTTTCATAACAAGTTCATTAAAGGGGTATGAAGTAATATTTGACCTTAACTGACCTGTACAAGCAGGAAGGTTGAACACATGTTTATCAGGAGGGATTGTTTACAGTATAAAACATTGTATGTACTGGCAGTATCTCCTCAAACTAAGTGCCGTGTTGCAGGACTCGCCTCTATTACTGAAACCAATGAAAATGCACGGAGAATGGGCAGGAAGGTGTCACATGGATACAGACAGGAATGGGATATCTTAAAGCAGCATTACGATTTCAGCACCTTACTTGAATGTGTTGAGTGATTGTTGCAATCAGATCAATAATGTCATCACCCTCCTGCAGATTTTGTTTTCATCATGGAGCAAAAGCTCCGTTCAATGAACAACAGTGTTCAAGAGATAAACTGTACAGATCTTATTTTATTATATATAACGCATGGTGCACTATTTGGAATTTCACTAACATTTATTTAGTCCCACGGGTGTCGGTTTCAGATCCCATCAGATAACCATGCGGAGATTGTCTCTGGGGCAGATTTGTGGCGTTATACCATGGCCTCATGTTTCAGTAAAGCTTCCCTGTTTTAAAATTTCATGTGATATTGTTCAAGTTTAGCCTTTGTCCAAACAATCTAAAGATGTGTTATCGAGCACAAACATTTAAATGTGGGTTGGCAATATTCAAAACACCTTTCATTGTAATGCAGTCCAGCACAGCAAGTTTATTGTAATTTATTTCGTTTTGATTTTACTGGTTTACTTAATTAAACTTGTAATTTCTTCTACAGTTTTTGAGTGTGTTTGTGTGTGGACACAGAAATCAGTTGGTTTTCCAATCAGATCTGGGCCACTTTCATATGTGGTCCTAAATCCGATACATACTGTATCTGATTATTGGCCATGCGACTGCTGTGAAAAAGCTCATATCGGATGTTCATGTTTTTCCTCATTATTCCTAAAAAAAAGACTTTTTCTATATTACTGAGTTCCACTGCTTAAGTCCGCATCTTGTTGCTGTCAGTAGAACTCCGATTTAATAAATCAGCACATAAATGTGTAAACTGCGTCGTTAAGGTAGATAGTGTTATCTGGGAAACATCATGTTTATTCACTTTACATGGAGCTAAAATGAAAACCGAATTATGTCAAATCCTGTTGGCCGAATGAGTAAGTGTCTGTTTATGTGTCGTAACAAATAATAAATGATCTTTTAGAAGAGGTAGATGTTTACTGGTGAGTTGAGCTCTATTAAATGTAACAATGTGTTAAAGTAGGTTTCCCTCCAACAATAGGAAACAGTT